AGGCCCGAAACATCAGCCTTCCTGCTCCTCTGATGCTGCTTGGCCTGCTGTGTTCATCCAGCTCTACACTTTGTTATCTCTTTACAAGGATGTTACCAAGATTGGAGTGTTTGAGTTATAAGGAGAGGCTGGATAGGCTGGGACTCTTTTCCCTGGAGCGTAGGAAGCTGAGAAGTGACCTTATAGAGATTTTTAAAATCATAAGAGGCATAGATAAGTTGAATAGCAAAGATCTTTTCCCTAGGGAAGGGGAATTCAAAACTAGAGGGCATGGTTTCAAGGTGAGAGGGAAAAGATATAAAAGGGACCTGAGGGGCAACTTTTTGACAGAGTATGTGGAATGAACTGCCAGAGGAATTGGGAGATGCACATACACTTCGAACATTTAAAAGACATTTGGACAGGTACATGAATAGGAAAGGTTTAGAGAGATATGGGACAAACCAGACAAATGAGATTAGTTTAGTTTGGGAAACCTGGTCAGCATTGACAAGTTCCACTAAAGGGTCTCTTTTTGTGCTGTAATGACTTTTATAAGTCAGGAAATTTCCAGATTTGGCACACTGCCTTGAGAAAAAGTGCCCTTTGGTTTTGGACTGGGATGGGAGGCTGCAGCCCTCGGTGCAGATCGCAGGTTTGAATTGCCTCTTTCTGTGCCATAACTTTTCTGTGATTCTACGGAATTGGCCACACAAGTTGCAGGGTGGTCTGCTCCAATTGTTTTGTTCCTTTTACATTCTATTACTTCCCCTACACACTCATGATGCCGCATTTTTTTGTAGTTCATTCAGCCCACAATTCTCCATGTCAATGCCCTGCAATCCCCTTATAGTCTCATGACAATGTACTGCCAACTCGTGCCCCTCCCAACCCCATCCCCCATACAGTCCATGACAACTTGAGCTCCCATACATCCCCTCCCCCCGGACCTTAACGGCTCCGCTAACAACACTGATTCATGCACTCCATGGTCCCTCACAGTCCCATGCTAGCCACATACCATTTTACACCACCTATGCTAAAACAGCCAATATTTACAAAGGGCAGACCTCGACAGCCATGGTAAAATAAAGATCTAAACGTCTCCTTTATCTTGTTCACTTTGCTCTTAGTAGGGAGGACCCATTCCCTTATTTTCACACCTTAATTTACAACTATTTTACATCTTATTTTCCTCTCTTTCTCCACCACTAACAACCCTTTGTCTCCTCCTCGGTCAAAAGTACATATTAAAAATAAATTGACATTTTTCAGCTCCGAAGAGCCATACTGGAGTCGAAGTTGTCAACTCTGTTTATCTCTCCACAAACGCTGCCAGACCTCATGGATTTCTCGAGTACTCTGTGTTTGTTCTAAATTAAGTATCTTTCACACTCTTCACGAAAATAAATTAATATTCGTATTCACGAAGGCCCCATTTCTCTAACCCCACCTGGGGGTGTCGCTACAGAAGGGCGCTGTTTCACCTCCCAGACTGGGAGGAGCGGGGTGGCGCTGTTTCGCCTCACAGACGGAGAGGAGCATAGTGACGCTGTTGCATCTCTCGGACTGGGTGGAGCGGAGTGGCGCTGTTGCACCTCCCAGACTGGGAGGAGCGGGGTGGCGCTGTTTCACCTCCCAGACTGGGAGGACTGAACAAGCTGGACCATCTTGTTACTATTGCTCCTGGTCTCCTCCTCTGTCCGGGAGCGGAGTGGCGGGTCGTGATGGCGCTTTACAACTTCAAGAAGATCACGGTGGTGCCGTCCGTTAAGGTAGGTGGTGGCCGTTTGGAGGCTGCGAGCGACTGGCCTGTCAGACATTGTACATATTGAAAGGCCGGGTTGGGTCAGAGGGGCGAATAACTGGGCCGAGAGCTCCCGGACACGTGTTCCCCGTCAATCCTACATTCCCTCCGCTTGCTCAGGGCTGAGTGTCCCCTAGGCCCGCGGGGGATGGGGATGGTGTGTAACGGTGTATTTATCAGGTTATGGCAATTCTTAATGTGTTCATAGGTTTGAACCCCCTTCCTGGCTTTTTATGTTCCACACACACGAACCGATTGGTCACTCTGCCCTGGCCAGGTTGGGACATGGATTTTAAATATCATCGTTTTACTGATTACAGACTTGAAGGGAGTGTAGAATTTTCCACGACTGGGTAGTAAGTCCCTCCATCACCAACCCCTATCCGCCCCAAAAAAAGGTGGCTGTCAATTCCCCTTCAATTTCATCGGCCGGTTAAAGGGACGCCCCAGTTACCGGAAGGTGTTGACGATTGTCGAAGGTTCCTCCTCCATCCATGCATCTCTCTTCCCTTCCCGCCCCCGCATCTGTGGATCATCTCCAGTTTGATACCTATGGAGGTTTTCACTGCGCAGCCCGAATGAAATTTCTTTCGCCAGCTATTGGTCTGCGGGATTTTGATTTGGTTTCACTCTTTTTCAAAACCTAAGTTTGGAGCTTGACACTGATGGGTTGTTTCCTCTAGCAGAGTGATGATGTGGAGGTGCTGGTGTCAGACTGGGGTGGACAAGGTCAGAAATCACACGACGCCAGGTTATAGCCCAACAGGTTTATTTGAAAACACAAACTTTCCAAGCTTCAGTCCTTCTTCAGCTGTTAGTGAGAGAGGTAGTGTCAGACACAGAATTTGTAAGTAAAAGATCAAACGTTCACACCATTGATGAGGATGTACTAAACAAACCTAAGATGAAGTTAAATCTTTAATCAGTTGGAAGGTTTTAATTGATTAATATGTATATCTAAAACCCCGAATTCCTTTCGAGTCACAGTCCTGAGAGAACTAAAGGTTTTATCAGAAGAGCCAGTCTGACTCCAGACTAAGGCACATGCAGATTCTAAACAAGGTCTCACATCTAACATGCATTGTCTGACCTAAGATGTCACCACTTCTTTACACTGATAAAAGCCTTCATTCTGTCAGGACTGTGACTTGAAAGGAATTTGGGGATTTCCATGTACATATTAATCAATTAAAACCTTCCAACTGATTAAAGATTTAACAGCATCTTAGGTTTGTTTAGTACATCCTCATCAGTGGTGTGAACCTTTGATCTTTTACTTATAAATTCTGTGTCTGATACTACCCTCTCACTAACACCTGAAGAAGGACTGAAGCTCCGAAAGCATGTGTTTTCAAATAAACCTGTTGGACTGTGATCTGGTGTCGTCTGATTTCTGACCTTGTCCTCTGGCAGAGGGCAATCATTTAGGACTGAGATGAGGGAAATCTTTTCGCTCAGAGGGTTGTGAATCATTGGATTCTTCGAGTCTAGAATATGTTGCATAATTGAGTGTACACATGGAATAGATAGAATTTTGCAGTCTCAGAGAATCATGGAATATGAGGGACAGACAGAAAAGTGGAGTTGAAGCCAAAGCTTAGCTATGAGTGAATTCAATGCAGGAGAAAGTTCAAAGTCCTTATGATCTGCTTTAATTTTTTTTATGATCTTGTGTCTTCATTATTCAAGTAAGGTGGAAACAAAATTGTGTGCTTGAGCTTGTCAGTGATTTGCTATCTTGAGAATTTTATGCCGTGCATTTCCCTTAAATGATGTCAAAGTCGTTAGTTTAATACATTTCTCAGTTCAAGTTTTGCTAAAACATGCATTTTGTCAAAGCCTTTTATCTTGTACTCATAAGGACAATTCACAAATGTCAATAGGGGAAGTAGTGGGAAAGAATTGACTGGATGAGTGCAAGATGAGAAGGTTCCATGAAATTTCTTACTCAGCATTACTCAACTCCACAGATCATTTGTGCAATGCTGTTAACCCAAAAAAATCCTGAGTGCTAAATCCAATAACTATAAGACAAAGAAAATTATTTAAATCACAGATTTTGCGTGCCTGACAAATTTGGAGAATAATTATGCTTAGGTAATGGATATCTCAATTACATCTAGGGTGCCAAAACATTGATGAAATGTAAATTATACTTGACATTTAGGAATTGTAAATCAGTGGCAACTTTCATCGTCACAGGCACAGAATGTAGTTTCTAACTCCAGTTAGGATTGATTCAGTGATGAAAGCCTGAGTAAAGAGTTTCACACGTGGATTTTTGGCAACAGGTGAAGGAAGTTTGCATAGTTTAGTGGGACTAGGTTAAGGAACAGGAGGTCGAGGTCTGAGGAACACGCTGAGATCGAAAAGATCGTGCAGAAAGACGTAAGAAGAACTGAAAAAAACTTTCAAAATACGCTCCATAAACTTCATCTCATTCAAGGTTCCAATAACCAGGTATTGGACAGCAGCAAGGTTTTCTCACTCATCACCGTACTTCTTGCTGATCTGTGTGGAGGCTCTGTCATACTACCTTCAATTTTAAAAATTCTCATCTTTATTTTTAAAACTACCCATCTTCAATCTCACAAAGGACTATTTAATTTCTGTCGCAACATTGGAGGGAGTACTGAATGTATGTGTGTAAATTCAACATCTTTTAAAGTGAGATGTTTTTAAAGGCAGTTCTGCTTACTGTCACTGAACTATACAGATGGGTAACATACAACTATTCCCTTTACAACAAAAACAAAAACCTTTTGCATTTAATCAGAGAGTGATCATTTTAACTGTTAGGTTCTTGCAATTGAAAAAGTAGATATTTTGTTCACAAGGACACCCAGATATTTCTGCATCTGAGCTCTGCAGTCCATCAACATTTAAATAATAAGCTTATTTCCTTTCCTTTCTGCCAAAATTAACAATTTGACATTTTCCCACTGTGTACTCCATTTGCCACTCACTTAATCTGCTTGTTTTTTTTTGTAACTTCCTTGTTTCCACTTTACAATTTACGTTCCTACCTATCTTTGTGTCATCGGCGTATTTTGCAACCATATTTTCCTGTCCCTTAATCCAATTCATTAATATGAATTGTAATCTGTTGAGGCACCAACATTAATCCTTGTGGCACATTATTTGTTACATTTTGCCAATCTAAAAATGACCTGTTTCTACCTACTGTCTCCATCCTTTTGGCCGCCAAACCTTCTATCTAAAAGAATGTGATATGTGCTTCATTGAGAGATTTTCCACAATAACCTTTGATGTGGCCCTGCATCAAATTCCTTCTAATAATTTAAGTACAATACATCCAATGGTTCCCCCTTAGCCACAGTGCATCTTACCTCCTGAAAGAACTGCAGTAAATTGGTTAAACATGATTTCCCTTTCACTAAAACTGTATTGACACTGCCTGATTACCTTGAACTTTTTGGACTGCTCTGCAATGATTTTTTAATATTTAGTTCTAAAATTTTCCAGTGAAAGATGTTGAACAAGCTGACCTGTAGTTTTCTGCTTTCTGTACCCCTCCCTCTTTGAATAGGTTACATTTGCTATCTTCCATTCCAATTGGACTGTCCCTGAATCTAGGGAGTTTTGGAAAATTAAAACCAGTGCATCAACTGTCTCACGAGCCATATTTTTTAAGTTCTGAGAATGAAGTCGAGATGAGGATCTGTGAACTTGTCACCCTGCAGTTCAAACAATTTACTTAGTAAAGTAATTAAAAAGAAAAATATTACTTGGTGGTTGAAGTGGCAGTGTTAAATTGGCCCAGGAGCAAAATGGCATGCAACCCTGGTCTTAATGGGGAAATCTATGCATGCACCACACACACGTTCTGTCCACACATGTTGCAGATTCACTTCTAGTCAACAATGGAAATAACAGTGCTCCCAAAGGTCCATGCCTCAAACTCATTCCTCTGATTTTGGCCTCTTTTTGTCCCATCCTCCAACCCACCAAACGTCCCACCATTGATTGCTGTAATTTCAGCTGCCAAATTCCCACTCATAAATTCTCTAAATTCTACCACCTCTCCTTCTTAAAACATACAATGCTCCTAATATGATTTTGATCGCAAACTTCTAATTTTCCTTTGGCATCCTGATTTCACCTCTGAAGGTCTTGGGATGATTTGCTATATTAAGTACATTGAAAACAATATGACGCTTTCTACGTGTGACCATCGTTGGGTGTTCATTTTTAGTATCATAAACATGGTGTTTCCTGCTGTCATTTGCAGCTGAACATGCCACTATCAGGTGATTTTTTTTTTCTTCTCACATTAAACTTAACAGATGAGCTGCCTCTGGAGACATCTGATGCAAAGCATACAGCGTTGGCTGACGCAAAATGCTAAAGCCACGTATAAAAACTCATACAGCATCATTGAGTTGTGTTCGTCCTGTTTAATACATGGCACTTTACATTTTATGTTGGAAGTGATGTTAGTGGATCAAGCCGAGCATCAATAACTCCAGAAGCTACTGACATGAAGTTAATGTGATCATTTTATGAAACAATATACCTTGCCCTGGTTTTAGTATATTTATTTAAATGAAAGGGCATTCTAAAATTAGATCATAAGACCATAAGCTATAGGAACAAAATTAGGCCATTCAGCTCATCAAGTCTGCTCCAGCATTTGATCATGGCTGATAACATTTCTCAATCAAATTCTCATGCTTTCTCCTCAAAACCCATAATTGCCACAAGGAAGAACATTTGCAAATGTGAGAAAACTGAATGATTTAAGAATTGCAAAAAATTGAATGCTGCTGTTTGGTCAGAAACTCTACAGATCAAAACTTCTGTCTTTTTATTTTAGGATTTCATTGACCTGACTTTGTCAAAAACCCAACGGAAGACACCAACAGTGATTCACAAAAACTATCAGATCAGCCGAATTCGTCACTTTTATATGCGCAAGATAAAATTTACGCAACAAAACTATCACGATCGTCTCAGCTTAATTCTGACTGATTTTCCAAAACTTGATGTAAGTTGCTGTGTGGCAGTTCCAAAAAAACTGCAAATCTCATCATATTTTAGTTTAACTTAAATTGTTTATATTTCTATTCGCTGTACACGGTGAATACTCCTGAAATTGATGTGTTGTTGTTTAGGTTTTCGTTCAGGGAAAAGAAACTAAACATTTGAGAACCAGTTGAAGAGGTTCATGTTGATCTTTGAAATAAAATGGTTTACTTTTGGGAATCTTGAATGTGAAATCTTGTTACACATTCTTCTATTCTTCTGTTCCATTTAATCAAAATATTTTGCGCAAGTCCTTGCGAATGTTTACATGGTCATGGTTGATCTTGTACTAGCATGGATGTGATGGGCTGAAAGGTTTCCTGCTGTGTTGTACCATTGTATAATTCGATGATATGGAATGAATAAATACTTGATGATTTCTCCTAAATACAATTAATTCCAATGTATTATTTTGCCTCAAACAAAATAAATATAATTGCACTGTCAGTAAGTGATTTTAAATTGGTGCTGTTGCACAGCCCAGATACAGTACTGGCTTACTGTCTATGGAACAACTGATTTGCAAAATCTGTTTCAAAATTTGGTCTAGATACATGCATGTGTTAAATGCACAATGTCAATGTATTATTGTTCTTGGATGCAATAGGCATGCATCTTTTGCAAAACATGACAGCTTGAAAGATGCTTAATCGTATGTATGTAATTTTTGTTTTATGATGCTTATTAAACCTGTACCCAGTGAATGATATGACAAGCAATGTCTCTGATTGGAATGTACTCAGTCCTGTGAGAATAATTTTTGCTTAGTCATGATGGTGACATTAGAGGACATCAATTTCAACATAAAAATCTCAAATAAATTGGTATGTTAAACTAGCAGTGATGGAAAATCTCTGGTCTTTAAAAATATGCATCAGATAATACCAATTGAAAATAATCTTTTAAATAACTTGAGTGTTATAAAATATTGGATATCAGGTGCACTTTAAAGAAATGACTTTTTTTTTGTTTGTAGGACATACACCCTTTTTATGCTGATTTGATGAATGTACTTTATGATAAAGATCACTACAAGCTGGCATTGGGGCAGATTAACATTGCAAAGAACCTCATTGACAAGTAAGATTTATACTAACTTTTGTCTTTTAATGCAAGTACTGTGATGAAACTTGGTATTGAAAATGTTTGGATTGCTGTGATGAGAACCGCAGAACGTGGACTGAATTATGCGTAGAATAAAATTGTGCTGGGCTTCAGACTTCAGTATTCAAGATTAATTCCTTGAAATCTCTGTCCCTGAAAAATGCATAGCAATTTCATCAGTATTCCATCTCAACAAAGCAATTGCTCAGGTAATGAAGCACCGCTTCAGTTTTCCTGCTGATGGGAAGCTATTATTCAGATGTTCCTTAATTTAGCTTTAAAAGGGGAGCTAGAAGTAATAAGGCTATAAAAACAAAGTAATTTTGAAACCTTACTTCTTCCAGTGCTTGAGATCAGATGTCCCATCTCATGTTTATATAAAATCATGTCAAGACTTGATTTGCTTGCATCCGTGATGCGGTTGTGTCCCCTTTTCTGTTCTGTTCTGTCAAAGTGAGCCAATTGAAAGGAAACTTTTTGAAAAATTTGCCTGTCTCCAAAATGGATTGTAATAACCAGCAAGAAGAAATACATACATATTAAAGAGGTGAATGGTCTAGGTAGAGGAAAGGTGTAAAAATAGCTTTGTTACAACATGGGATGTTTCAGTAAGCATAAGTGAATCCCCCTCGTCCTCACGTACCACCCCACCAACCTCCGGATCCAACGCATCATCCTCCGACACTTCCGCCATCTGCAATCCGACCCCACCACCAAAGACATCTTTCCCTCCCCACC